TTTGGGCAGGATGGCCATTTTGACGATATTAATTCTTCCTTGCCAAGAGCATGGGATGAGTTTCCATTTGCTAGTGCCCTCTTTAATTTCTCTTAAAAGTTTTTTATAGTTTTCAGGGTAAAGGTCTTTCACTTCCTTGGATAGGATTACTCCTAGGTATTTTATTCTTTTTCATGCAATTGTGAATGGAATTGTTTTCCTGATTTCTCTTTCTATTAGTTCATTGTTAGTGTATAGGAAAGCCACAGATTTCTGTGTGTTAATTTTGAATCCTGCAACTTTGCTGTATTCTGATATCAGTTCTAGTAGTTTTGGAGTGGAGTCTTTAGGGTTTTTTATGTACAATATCATGTCATTTGCAAATAGTGACGGTTTAACTTCTTCTTTACCAATCTGGATTTCTTGTGTTTCTTTGTTTTGTTTAATTTCCGTGGCTAGGTCTTCCAGTATTGTGTTGAATAACATTGGGGAGAGTGGGCATCCCTGTCTTGTTCCTGATCTCAGAGGAAAAGCTTTCAGCCTCTCACTGTTCAGTATGATGTTGGCTGTAGGTTTATCATATATGGGCTTTTTTATGTAGAGGTACTTGCCCTCTATACCCATTATGTTGAGACTTTTTATCATGAATGGATGTTGAATTTTGTCAAATGCTTTTTCATCATCTACAGAGATGATCATGTGGGGTTTTTTTCCTTCTTTTTGTTGATGTGGTGGATGATGTTGATGGATTTTTGAATGTTGTACCATCCTTGCATCCCTGAGACGAGTCCCACTTGGTCATGGTGTATGATCCTTTTGATGTATTTTTGAATTCGGTTTGCTAATATTTTGTTGAGTATTTTTGCATCTACGTTCATCAGGGATATTGGTCTGTAATTTTCTTTTTTGGTGGGGTCTTTGCCTGGTTTTCGTATTAGGGTGATGTTGGCTTCATAGAATGAGTTTAGGAGTATTCCCTCCTCTTTTATTTTTTTGAAAAAATTTAAGGAGAATAGGTATTATATCTTCTCTGTATGTCTGATAAAATTCCGAGGTAAATACATCTGGTCCAGGTTTTTTTTTCTTGGGTTTTTTGATTACCGCTTCAGTTTCTTAGCTGGTAATTGGTTTGTTTAGATTTTGTGTTTCTTCCTTGGTCAGTCTTGGATGGTTGTATTTTTCTAGGAAGTTGTCCATTTCTTGTAGGTTTTCAGGTTTCTTATCATATAGGTTTTCATAGTAGTCTCTAATAATTCTTTGTATTTCTGTTGGGTCCATCATGATGTTTCCTTTCTCATTTCTGATTCTGTTGATGTGTGTTGATTTTTTTTTCTCTTAATAAGTCTGGCTAGAGGCTTATCTATTTTGTTTATTTTCTCAAAGAACCAGCTCTTGGTTTCATTGATTTTTTTCTACTGTTTTATTCTTCTCAATTTTATCTATTTCTTCTATGATCTTTATTATGTCCCTCCTTCTGCTGACTTTAGGCCTCATTTGTTCCTCTTTTTGCAATTTTATTAATTGTGATGTTAGACTATTCATTTGGGTTTGTTCCTCCTCCTTTAAATATGCCTGGATTGCTATATACTTTCCTCTTAAGACTGCTTTTGCTGAGTCTCACAGAAGTTGGGGCTTTGTTTTATTGTTGTCATTTATTTCCATATATTGATGGATCTCCATTTTAATTTGGTGGTTGATCCATTGACTATTTAGGAGCGTGTTGTTAAGCCTCCATGTGTTTGTGAGCCTTTTTGCTTTCTTTGTACAATTTATTTCTAGTTTTATACCTTTGTGGCCTGAAAACTTGGTTGGTGGAATTTCAATCTTTTTGAATTTACTGAGGCTCTTTTTGTGGCTAGTATGTGTTCTATTCTTGAGAATGTTCTATGTGCATTTGAGAAGAATGTGTATCCTGTTGCTTTTGGGTGTAGAGTTCTATAGATGTCTACTAGGTCCATCTGTGTTGTTCAATGACTCTGTGTCCTTACTTACTTTCTGTCTGGTTGATCTGTCCTTTGGAGTGAGTGGTGTGTTGAAGTCTCCTAGAACGAATGCATTGCATTGTATTTCCTCCTTTAATTCTGTGAGTATTTGTTTCACGTATGCTTGTCTCCTGTGTTGGATGCGTATATATTTATAATGGTTGTATCCTCTTGTTGGACTGAGTCCTTTATCATTATGTGATGTCTTTCTTTATCTCTTGTTACTTGCTTTGTTTTGAAGTCTATTTTTTCTGATACTAGCCCTGTAACACCTGCTTTTTTCTCCCTGTTGTTTGCATGTAATATCTTTTTCTATCCCTTGACTTTTAGTCTGTGCATGTCTTTGAGTTTGAGGTGAGTCTCTTCTAAGCAGCATATAGATGGGTCTTGTTTTTCTATCCATTCAGTGTCTTTATGTCTTTTAGTTGGTGCATTCAGTCCATTTACATTTAGGGTGATTATCAATAGGTATGTACTTATTGTCATTGCAGGCTTTAGATACATGGTTACCAAAGCTTCTAGGTTAATTTCCTTACTATCTAAAAGTCTAACTTAACTCACTTAGTATGCTGCTACAAACAAAATCTAAAGGTTCTTTTCTGTTTCTCCTCCTTTTTCTTCTTCATCTATTATTTATATTTTATGTATCATATTCTGTACTTTTTGTCTGTCCCTTGATTGACTTGGGGATAGTTAATTTAATTTTGCATTTGCTTATTAATTAGCTGTTCTACTTTCTTTACTGTGGTTTTATTACCTCTGGTGACAGCTATTAAACCTTAGGAACCCTTCCATCTATAACAGTCCTTCCAAAATAGACTGTAGAGATGGTTTATGGGAGGTAAATTCTCTCAGCTTTTGCTTACCTGGAAATTGTTTAATCCCTCCAAATTTAAATGATAATCTTTCTGAATAAAGTAGTCTTGGTTCCAGTCCCTTATGCTTCATGGCATTAAATACATCATGCCACTCCCTTCTGTCCTGTAAGTTTTCTGCCAAGAAGTCTGATGTTAGCCTGATGGGCTTCCCTTTGTATGTGATCTTATTTCTCTCTCTGGCTGCTTTTAATAGTCTGTCCTTATCCTTCATTTTTGCCAATTTTTTTTACTATTTGTCTTGGAGTTGTCTTCCTTGGGTCCCTTGTGTATGGGGATCTGTGGATCTCCATGGCCTGAGAGACTAACTCCTTCCCCAGACTGGGGAAGTTTTCAGCAACTACCTCCTCAGAGACACTTTCTCTCCCTTTCTCTCTCTCTTCTTCTTCTGATATCCCTATAATGTGAATATTGTTCTCTTTGGATTGGTCACACAGTTCTCTCAATATTCTTTCATTCTTAGAGATCCTTTTTTCTCTCTGTGCCTCAGCATCTTTGTATTCCTCTTGTCTAGTTTCTATTTCATTTATTGTCTCCTCCACCATATCCAACCTGCTTTCAATACCCTCCATTGTGCTCCTCAGTGATTGGATTCCTGACCTGAAGTCCTTCCTGAGTTCTTGGATATCTTTCCGTACCTCCATTAGCATGCTGATGATTTTTATTTTGAACTCCCTTTCAGGAAGAGTCATAAGGTCCACATCATTTAAGTCTTTCTCTGGAGTTATATTAATTTTACTCTGGACAGTTTTCTTTGGTGTTTATGCCACCCTCTAGTGTCCAGAAGCTGTAGTCTATGGATCTGCTCAGCCCCTGAAGCAATGTCTGGGGTCACATCAGAGCAGTATTGGTGACTTGGAGGAGGAAAGAGCTGTTCCCTGCTTCCCAGCTGCTATACCTGCCTCCATTGTCTGAACCAGTGGGTGGAGCACACAGATATAAGCTTTTGTCCCAGAGCAGCTGGATATGGATCCCTGCTTTCCACAAGCAGCCAGAATCCCATTCTCCACAGGAACTCCACCTGTCCCAGCTTTCAACCCCCGTAATCAGAAGAGTATGATGAAAGCACCGTGAAATGTAGGTTTGTGCTCCCAGCACAGATCTCTGGAGCTAGGTATTCAGCAGTCCCAAGCCTTCCACTCCCTCCCTGCTCCGTTTGTCTTCCTCCTGCTGGTGACCTGGTGTGGGGGCGGTGCTCAGGTCCTGTGGAGCCACAGCTCTGGTACGTTACCCCGTTTGCTGAGGTCTGCTCTTTTCTTCAGGTGTGTGAAGTCTGGCACAGTCCTCTTTCCTGTTGCTCTCTCAGGATTAGTTGCACAAACTATATTTTCTACTTGTATCCAGTTTTAGGAAGAAGCCCCTGTCTCTCTTCTCATGCTGCCATCTTTAATCCAATCAAATTAATATTATTTTTAATGTGGCTTTAATATATGTGAGGAGAAGCACATGATAATAAGGGAGAAGGTAAAATTTGTACATTCTTGAATAAATGTAGCAAATAATAATTGATGCATCAGTAAATAAATGTACTTTTGAGCCATTTGAACATATTTTTAACAAACATTTGTTCTGATGACATGTATAATGCATCTGTTCTCTTTTTCCATGTAAGAGAAACTGTGTAAATTGTTTATCTTCTCAAAATGATTCCATACTCCTGCCAAACCCAGTTTTCTTTTCATAATATAAAGCACATTTCATTCATATTTTATGGCATTCAAAAGAATATATATTTTTCATATTTATTTTTAAATTAATAAGTGACTGGATATTTTTATTTCTTCTTTATAGTAATATCAAATGTGACCTGTCAAAATTAATTAACATTGTTTTAATTCTAGGTTGGCAAATATTTAAAGATTGTAGAAATGTAGAACAGAAGCTTAACATGCAATATTTCTCAGGAAAACCTTTGGCTCTTTAAGACTGACATTTTAGGGAGGCCCCTTATCTCGTCAAAGCAGGAGTGGGATCTCTTACTTGTAACACTCGATCTTTTACCCATTGGCATATTCAAATAATCCACAACCTTCAAAAAGGAAAGATTTTGATCAATGATACAATTTAAGGATATTTATTCAATTTACATCAGCTATATCTACATAATCCTAATCAGTTACCTTACTTTACTGCTGAAAACATAAAGTTCTCTTGGTAATTTAGGTTACCCTCGACATTTCCTTCCTGAGTAAGACATTCTTTTCATGATTTTCTTGATGGCAAATTTTATTTGTTCAGTTCTAAGGCTGTAGATAATAGGGTTGAAGAGTGGGGGGATGATGGAGTAGAAAACAGAGAAGACCATGTCCTGGATGGTGGCAGAGATGGTGGATGGCCTCAGATACACATAAAAGCCGGAGCTGAGGAAGACAGACACCACGAGGATGTGGGGGACACAGGTGGAGAAGGCCTTTGTTCTGTCTGCTCCATTTGGAAACTTGAGCACAGTGGAAAATATGTGAATGTAAGACTTGATGATGTAGATGAAGCAGCCACCACCAATCCCCAGGCCAGAGGCCACGACCATCATCTCACTGCTGGAGGTGTCAGAGCAGGAGAGCCTCAGCAGGGAGGGGATGTCACAGAAGAACTGGTGGACCACGTTGGACCGACAGAAGGAAAGCCGGAATGTGTTACCTGTGTGCACACCTGCATAGGCGAGACCACTGAGGATAGATGCCAGGGTCATCTGGACACAGACCCGAGGGCTCATGATCACAGGGTAATGGAGGGGCTGGCAGATGGCCACATAGCGGTCACGGGCCATGATGGTGAGGAGCAGAAGCTCCACATACACAAAGAAAACCACCAGGAAGACCTGAGCTACACATCCAGCCTTTGAAATGGTCCTGCTGCCAAGCAAGGCGTTGATGCATGAGTTAGGCACTGTTACAGATGTGTAGCACACGTCCAGGATGGACAGATTTCTGAGGAAGAAGTACATGGGTGTGTGAAGGCTCCTGTCAAGGGTGGTGACAGTAACAATGAGAATGTTCCCCATTAATGTCACCAAATACATCAGAGAGAAGGAGATGGTGTGCAAAGCCCTTAGTTCCCATACATCAGAAAAACCCATGAGGAGAAATTCCAGCATCGTCGTGGAATTTGGCATCAGTGGGTCACACAGCTTGCACCTGGGAAGTAAGGAGAGATGTGCTGAACCCAGGAAGAGTCAAGTCATGGGGCAATGCCCTCAGCTGTTTCAGTCCTGACCTCTATGTATTTCAGTCTATAACGACGTTCCTAGTATGTTTGAAGGAAAACTAAGTGACCCTTCATCAGTCTGTATGACATTCTTATTCTTGCGGGAGTAGTGGAGTGGCAATCAGCCTAATCGCTCAGAAACAACAGACATATAAAAGTTCAATATACATCTCTATATGTTTCCATTGGAGAATGCAATTTTCTCATAGTCAAATAGAAATAAATATAGGTATAGATTACATAAACATAGTTACATTTTAAAATAATTTTGGGAAATCATGTTGTTAAATATAGGATAATTAAAATAGAATATTGTGGCTGTGTTTCAGTCTTACATTTTTATGTGAGGGTTCAGACAATATGGGGAAAAGTAACCTTTTCTTCTAGAGCATGCCTTTTATGCATAATGATGTCCCTATAACATTAAATATTAATATCATTGGGACTTTGCTTACTTCAAATGGATCATGTTACCTGATATATTTACACACACCAAATCTACTCCTCATTTTTCTGTTAAACTTTTATACATCTCATTATTTTTCTAGTCGTTCATCTCTCCTTTCAAAGACAGAAGGAGTGAACCAGATATTCTTGTTTTCTTAGAGACTCCTGAAACTCACCCCTAATATTCCCCCATTATCACCTTCAGTCTTGGTACTTTTCAAAACTTCTTTGATTCTACTGGCTGAAAAACAAAAGGAAACAACGAAATAATGGCATAATATCTTTTAATACTAATTTAGCTTTCTCCTTCTAAATTACTTATTTTGCTTTTTCTCACTGTGACCTTCATCTTTTTCAACAAGTTTTCTGAAATATCTGTCTTTGTTTTTGCATCCTTTAACAAGTCAAGTGTTGGCTGTTGCCAAAAATTCTCTGGGGCTTGTATCTTCTGTCCTCGGTCTGTTCGGTTTATTCATCAGTGGACGTATCGGCCAACACCCATCTGGACGTGGCCACATCACCTGTGTTCTCCTGGATCTCAGCCATCACTCTTCCACAGCTCTTTCTTCTAAGTTCCTCCAAATAACCATGTCCAGAGTTGAATTGATTGTACTCTCACTTTGTGTGAAAGTAAAGGTCTTTTAAGTTCTCTTAAAAAATCTTACAATCCAGACCCATTTACACTGACCTGTTCTCTCAGACATTATTTTGCTAATATCACCTATCATGAACTTATCAAACATCTGCCTGTGAAGGTCTTCAGAGATGTAAGCCACAGGCATGACCTCTTTTTTATCTCATCAATTTTATGACACTTCAGACATTTCAGAGCGGAAATAAATTGAGTAGATGCTTTGAGCTACCTGTTCTATTAATGCTTTCAAGTTCTCCAATTTTTGAATTTTATGAAAACTTATGCCCTTCAAATGTCAGGTAAAGCTACTTAAACATATTTGATATTAAGTATAGATTTTTTTTAAATGGGGAATAAGCTATTACATTACTAAAATATTGTTACCACTAATTCTTTATCTACACAAGGCTTCCAGGACAGAGGAGAAAATACTCTCATCAACAAGATACTACCTCTACATGTTTAACAAGTGAACTAAAACATCTGTGGTCTGAATATTTTCAAGGTTCTTTGGATAGAGGGAAAAGTAGTTTGTAGTTATGGTTTTGATTTCCAGCTGTCTGGATCAAAATACTCATTTTTATCATGAGTGAAATGAGCATTTCAAACTATAGGCTCAATCTCTATATCTTATCAAACTGGGAGCAGTGCACTACCTCTCATATAAACTGGGCAGGATCAGATGAGACTACATGTAACACATTTAGAAAAAGACTGAGAGTATCATAAATGCTCTTTAAATATCTCATTTTCATAAATACTGCTACTATTTCTGTGTTCCATTATTTTAAAGGCCAATTTTTCTAGCATGTATGCGTATGTAGTCAGATACTTTCTAAATAAAATTTGTATATCGAGTCTAAATCTCTCAATGGCAGTACTGTAACCCCTTCTAATAGAGAGAAAAAATTCCGCACATTTAACCGCTGATATTTCCAAGCTGTCTCCCCTGTGGTTCTCATGGACATGCCTCATCCAAGTGGCACTGGGAGTGGGCTGATTCAATATCTCTATAGTTTTCCAAATAATGTCCTCATACTTTTGTGATGACGAAGTAATTATAATTTCCTGTACAGACGTTTCATATATGATTACATTAGGCATTAAAGCATGAATCCAAATAGTTTCCAGCAGCATAAATTCTCCTATGGAAGAGCCACGAAGACCTCATCTGTGGAATAAGGAGACACGAAATCTAGGAAGTATCACTGCCGCTTACCAGGCAAGTGAGTTTAGAACCGTCCTTCACCCAAGATGTAGTCACTTCACCTGTCAAAACATGATAACTGCATAAACTATTATACTCAATTTTAATAATGTATGCTCATTCATAGATTTAGTCTTTGAGTCAGTGGTTCAACATATATATACCTAAGACCAGAAGTTTTGTGAATAATAAAGGCAACAAAACAAATTCCTAGCCTCACGAAATCTGTATTCTGTTAGAAGAAACTGACAGTGAATAGTTAATATTTAAGGAGAAATCAAATATTTCAGGTAGTTTTATGTACTTTGATGAAAATGCAAAGGGGCGATAGACATGTAAGAAAGAGTGTGTGACTAGGGAGGGGAGCTGGGATTGGTCAGGTAAATTAACTTGCTTGGAAACCAGCAAACAGTTATGGAAATAGAGACACATTTTTTACTTTTCCTGACTGAAGTAATGTTTTCCCTTTGTCTTGTGTAAAAAGAAGCCCTGTATATATCTGTGGAATTGATTTAATAAATAAAGTCAACATTTGATTTTTCCAGACAAAATAATGATTTTTCCTACCCTGATTCATTCCACATCTTGATTTGAGTCAGACACTGAATTATGAGTTTAAATTCTAAACACACAAAAGAATTATAAGTATTTTTGATGTAATACTCTAATCCTGAAAAAGTCCTAAGTTTAATAAAATGACTAATTTTAAGTTAAAATTTCAGTAAAAAGTTTTCCCATTGTTAGTTAATTCTGAGTTGGTTTATCTGAAAATATTTGTATATAATTTCTTAGAGAATTACAAAGAATATTCTCTTTGATGTATCAATTAACATACCTTACAGTGTCGACATTCTGAGAATGTGTCCGTTTTATCTTGAATATTTTCTAATAAAGCTGTAATTCATTTCACTGAAATGCCACAGTCATTTTCATTCTACTGCTAAGTGAACTTCAATACTTGGGGAACTAAACCTTCTGTTTCACTGGTTTAGGAGCTGAAAAGTTACTAAGGGTGTTGGTCCCAATGAAATGACTAGAAGTCAATTGTTTATGCATATACATATGAGTACATATAGTTCATGATTAGTGTAAAGTGCTATTCATATTTTATTAGCATTATGCTGTAACTTGCAGATAGACATTGTGTTTCTATTTTGAATAGAATAATTTTATTCCATATCAATCACTCCTAGATACCTAATTCAAATAATCTAATTTTTTTTTTCTGAAGACCACACTTCTTAATTAGTCAAAATGTTAAAAGCAGTTGTATCTATACAAGCAAGACACATGTCAGGTTTTCTGAATCAAAGTCATTCACTATCAGTAAAGTCTATTTTCTTAGAACATTTAAAAGAAGTACATGATCAATGTTTTTCAAAATAGCTCAATTTGTAAATGTAAATATTGCATACATTCTTCCTTTATATTTAGGATGTTGGATGTTTTCTGAAAATTGACTTTTTTCCAAAATAAAATCATATGAATCTCCATAGACAAAATTAGCCAAAAGCTTAAGGTTATCTCAAGTTGAAGCCATTGAACATTTGGAAATCATCAATTTCTTACTTCTAAATTATTATTGCTATTTTTTATGAAATAAATTATTCTTTAAACTTGACTTTTTATGTGTCAAAATAATGTAAGTCTCAGAACAGAAAAGTTTACATTAAAAAATAAGGCTTGTGTTCTGTCTTAACCAATTAGATCAATAAATTATCCTCAATTGTTTAAACCAGAAAAAAATGGTAGTAATACATCATTTTATAACCTTATTGTATAGAAGCATTTTCAGTGCTAGAGGACAACTAAAAAGTTAGATATATAAAAGGAAACTTTAAAATTTATTGATCATGAGATATAGATGTGTTCTTTTAGGAATTACAATTCTTACTACAATTTAACTAAATAATTATCAGATGTTATTTTTAAACACTCCATTCCATGCATTTACCAATTGTAACTTGAATTGTCTAGATCAGCAAATTTGTCCCTCTAGGAAATAATTTTATTTAAAATACCCTGAAGTAATAATTTTAAATAATTCTTCTAACTGTAAATATCTAATGAGTGTTGTCCACAGAGTCACTGGCTCAACTGCATTTTCAATACAAAGTAAATAAATAATATACAACCTTCCATGTAGCAATATGAAGAAAACATTTTTTCTATTTTACAGAACTTAAAAAAATAATTCATTCATTAATGTTTTAATTAAGCTACTCATGGAATTACCCAGTTGTTTATATATTTGCCTATTTACTCAGTTATTCTGGAAATTATAGTTAAGCCCTAAAATTTCTCAGTTCTTGATCATATACAAGGGACTCAACAGTAAATAAGAAAATAAAATTGGTTTTAAACATGATATTTTAATAACAAGAGATATAAATACCATGTAGCCCATTTTAAAAATCACTTAGACTAGTTAAACTACTCTACTTTATATGCTTTATATTAAATGATGTTCCTTTATTTTCCTCTTAATAATTTTCCTTTTCAAGGGCACTCATGGACATGTTTACTCTGCCTTTTGCCCAGATATTTGAATAGGTAATAAACAGTTGCTGGGTTTTTAAATCTTCCATTGATAGTTATCACAAAGCACACTACCTATTTA